CATTTAGAACAACATGTCATGGTAAAACATACCGGTGAAAAACCCTACAAGTGTGAGGAGTGCGAATACAGAACGGCTAATAGGTCTCACCTAACAAGACACATGAAAAAGCATACAGGAGAGAACATACAATGTAACTAGTGCGACTATTCTAGAAACCTGTATTTGAAAGGATTACGGATGTTTGACTGCCTATTAGTGTATGGAGAGATAACAATTGATCATGATAGAACTAGCTGTCAGTTTGAATGGAAGAAAAACCTCGCTAAGACAGTTGAATAATTGTATTCAATTGAAATGAGCAAGTGATTTCCAGTCATCATAGCATCATCATATCCCCGGCCAAGTGATCAGTTTACATGATAATTTCTGAAACAGGCTCAGTCAGTCAAGATAATGTAAAAGTGTTTATAACATGGAACAAGAATCCAATTGTTGCAGAAGAGACATTCTATTTATAGTAACCAAACAATACGAGCGATTGCTGTCTTGTTTACACCATACATATAAATTATTAAGACATATGCCAATTATTGGTTGGCAGATTAGCCAACCGTCATCCGCTTTTTGCCATATTATTTAAATAAAGGATATGTATGCGTTTACAAATAAAAGATATGTATTCAAAGTAGCATAATGAATTGGTCTATTTTTATTGTTAATAATCATTAATAAATCTTTGTTTAATGCTAAAACTTATATATATATATATATATTACATATTCAGCATTCACATTAAGTGATTATTCCACATGATACCACAGGTAAGACCCATATATCGCACTTAGTGCCGAGCCAAAAGCGTTATACGACAATCTGTGATAGACCAACACTCAAGTGAGTATCAGGTTTGTGACCTTTGCCCCTTTACCACCGCCATCTTCTTTTTGGTTGGCGTCATCGTCTTTGATAATCTCTTCCAAACTGACGCGATTTTACGGAATCCCAGAAGTGGAAGGGATCACTAAGTACCCTTAACCGATAGGTAAGAACTTTTATTATCATAAACGCTTCCTATCCTGTGTTTGTTTGGCGATAACTTAGAATCAGAAACGTATATGGGTTCGTAAATTTTGATGCAGGGGGGGGGGGGCAGTGTAGCTAATATGCATGGATTATGCAATCGTTGGATTATGTAACAGCTACCGTAAGAAACAATTTATCAATATGCTGTATCCTCTAGGAGTAGATCCTGGGATGAAATTTTTATGCAGATCTGAGTTCATTTATGAAATTTAGAAGTAGAAAGAAAACTTTCACATTTTAGTCACGTCGCACCACTGGGAAACTGGCATGGCAGGAAGTGGGGTCAAGAACCGCAGACAAGGTGATGCATCTTTGTGACGACGGGGTTTGACAAGCCAAGCTCCTAGTATTCCAGGTCATGGCTGATGTCATTGGAATATTCCAGTGCCTCTCCATAAACTAATATATAGTAGATATATGTTACGGATTATATCTGATCCAATAATTATTTCAATGTAGGAATAATGCTTAGAGTTTCTAGAGTCAAAATGACTTAATTGTCGTTCTGCTTATGTTGCGTGCTGCTATTCCTAATGTATGTACGTCGATGAAAGAATACTAGTAAAACTGATTCCTCTGCATATATAATGTAAACATTATTTACTCACACACACACACACACACACACACACACACACACACACACACACACGCTCACTGTTTGTATAATCAAGGTGAAATTGTTTCAAATGACCTGGCTTCCCATGTCTGTTTTCATGACTTTTAGAATGACCATGATATTCTGAAAAAAAAAAAGAACAAACGTACTGAAGATCTCTGTCTACATGTTTATTTAACACAAGTATCGTGGTATTTGAACTATATTGAATTTACAGAACACATTTTATAGGTAAAGTCCGCGCCTATTCAGCATTTCTGCCTCCTAATAGAGGAAAATTTGCCTCTACGCCTGATAATTTATGTCTTTCCTATATTTTCCTGCCTCTATTTCAGAGATGGACGACTTTACATGTGTGCCTCCCGCAAATGTTCTCACGGAGCAAACTGCGAGTGAGGCACACATGGAAGAGGAGGAAACGGGAGGCACGGGGTGGCAACAGGACAAGGAAGAAGAAGACGCGCCATGTCGGGAAGCGTACGATGAAAAACTACCAACTGATTGTCTTTCGAACAAGACGCACATAAAAGAGGAGTCAGAAGACACGGGGTGGCAGGAGGGCGAAGAGGACCATGTGCTACGCCAGAAAACGTATAGCGAGGGCCGGGACACGTACGGTGTAACCCTACCAACCTGGTGTCCTGGGAATAAGGAGGTACATGTATATAACAGTTTGGGACAGACAGTAGACTTAGGACAGCAGCGGAACGAGAAAAAGGACTTTGCAGAAAACGAAACGTGTGGTATAAACTGTACCGGGTCTAACGATGAGTACTTGCCACAGACATCTGTACAGAGCAGTACAGTACAAGATGTCAACCACTGGGCAGCACATGCATTCATTTGCTGGAAGTGCGGTTACCGAACAACAGAAAGACATCTCTTGTTTAAACATATGAGAACACATACCGGTGAGAAACCGTACGTATGTGGGGAGTGCGGATTCAGAACGGCTCATAGGCCTAACCTATCCCAGCACATGAAAACACATACAGGTGAGAAACCGCACAAGTGTGACCAATGCGACTATGCTGCAGCACGGAAAGACCGTTTAGACCAGCACGTCATGGTTAAACACACCGGTGAGAAGCCCTACATGTGCGAGGACTGCGGATACAGAACGACTGACGTTTCCCTCCTTTCCTACCACAGGAAAAAACATACCGGTGACCAACTTTACAAATGTGACCAGTGTGACTACTCTGCTGCTCGTAAATCTCATCTAGATCAACATATGGCTAAACACAGTGACGAGAAAGCCTACATGTGTGGGAAGTGCGGATACAGTACGGCTTATACAGCTAACCTGTCCCGGCACATGAAAACACATACAGGTGAAAAACCCTACAAGTGTAACCAGTGCGACTACTCTGCAACCCAAAAAGGCCAGGTTGACCGGCACATTATGGTTGAACACACAGGTGAGAAACCCTTTAACTGTGACCAATGTGAATACTGCGCAGCACGGAAAAGCCATTTAGATCAACACGTCATGACAAAACACGCTGGGGAAAAACCCTACGCGTGTACTGAGTGCGAATACAGAACGGCTAATAGGTCTCACCTAACCCGACACATGAAAAATCATACAGGTGAGAAACCCTACAAGTGTGACCAGTGTGACTATTCTTCCACACGGAAAGATGCTTTAAACCAACACGTCATGACAACGCACACCGGTGAAAAACCCTTCCTGTGCGAGGAGTGCGGGTACAGGACAGCTGAAAGATTTTCCCTAACAAGACACAAGAGAAAACATACAGGAGAGAAACCTTACAAATGTGACCAGTGTGACTATTCCGCTGCACATGGGCGTTATTTGAAGAAACATATGGCTAAACATACTGGTGATGTTGCATACATATGTAGGGAGTGCGGATACAGCACGGCCTATCAGGCTAACCTCTCCCGGCACATGAAAACGCATACAGGTGAAAAACCCTACAAGTGTGACCAGTGTGATTATTCTGCCGTACAGAAATTTCAGGTAGACCAACACGTCATGGTAAAGCACACCGGTGAGAAACCTTACAAATGTGATCAGTGTGACTATTCTGCTACCCGAAAACATCATTTAGACCAACATATGGTTAAACATACGGGTGGAAAAGCGTGTGCGGAAATAAATTTATTATTCTAGCAACAATGCACACGATCCTTTAGAATGCAAGTAAATGTTAACAAATGACTTATCAAAATAAACTAGGAGTAGTACAATCAATATGTATCGAAAATGTATACGTCAATTTTTTGTGATACAATGTTCAGCATCTTATATTAAACTATTACATTTCTTCTCTTGACTATTTAGTACAGGGAAAATTATATAATTTTGCATGGAAACACTCAAGTTTGACGTCACCTAAAACAATTGTATAGAAAGCTGCACGTGTTGTCCTTTGTATGACCCCTAGCGACCCCATGTTAAGTCAAAGTTCTATTTTTAGTTTATTTGGAGCTGCTTTGTACTTACTTATCCTCTTCATCCTTGCGGAACATAAGACCATGACTTAATAAAGAGGTATGAACCGTTATGATAATCATGTGTAACATTTTTCTTGATGGATTTACCTTTAGAATAAATCTGGTGGTCTCACAATCCCTTTGTGCTTACTATCTTTTTGTAATATAGAGAACAGATACAGCCTTAGAATCGCTTCTGTCAAAATTCACATGTTGCACGACGCACTTACTGGGCTGCGGTGGTCTGTGGGTTGATACATGGCCACATGTACACTTAAGTAAGTATCAGGAGTGTGACCTCTCACCTTTGCACCATTTTTAGCTGCCCTGGTCCGCCATTTTAGTTGACGTCAATGTATTGCTGTCATCTACGAAGAGCTGTCAAAGCGATTTGAACGGAATTCTAGATGTCGTAAAGACCGCTTACAACAATAAACCGACAGGTAAGACCTTTGACTCCCTCGTAGGTAGTTCTTGAGCTATGTATTAGAATTAGGGGTGTATTTATTAGATTTTAACAAATTGTAAGACGGGTAGCCACCGTACGTAACGGAGGGTATTTATATGTATCAGCTGACACTTGCGGTTTTGTACATTCATGTACTGCCAGACACGATAAAAAACAATGTATTGTATCCTCTACGAATCTTGAAATATTTGATGCGATTTCGCGTGCTGCAGTTTGCCTTTATGAAAAAAAAATCATTCTAGTCACGTCGCACTACTGGTATTGGAGAACCTGACAGGAAGTGGGGTCAAAGATATAAGACTTGGTGATTTATCTTTAAACAAGTTTGTGGTGACAGGCTCCAGTACTAGTCCTAGCATTTCAGGTTAGCCTCTACCAGGCTTGAGGAGGCGGCTGGAAAGAGTAGAAATCGGCCAAAATAGAGAGATAAGCATGGCAAGGGAGTTTGTCCGTTGAGAGAACAGTTGTGGGGCGGCGAACTGTTCTCTCAACGGACAAACTCCCTTGCCATGCGCACTCTCTATTTTGGCCGATTTCTACTCTTTCCAGCCGCCTCCTCAAGAGCACAACCCTATAAGGTCTTGACCCCTAGGCCGGATCAGTTGTTATAGCGCCTATAAACCCCCGCAGCGTTACAAAAGCATTCCTGCATGCGAAGAGCTGCATGCATATCAATAGTAAATAGCCTGTTGACTTGGCAAACCAAGTAAGCCAACAGACTCACCGTGACAGACTGTATGCACATGTACAACTCCAATACAAACACTGAGGCCAGAAAGAGGTTCAAACGGTCTATTGATGCGGAAGCTAATTGTGTTAATTTATTGGCTTGCCACTGTTCAACACAACAAATACAAAGGGTTAACTTACTCTCCAAGCAGAGGTTTGGGTTTTGGGTTATTTTGGCGTGTTTTAGGCTTTTTTTATCTGTTTTTTTTTTCTATTTTGCACTGGATATCATTTTCTCGTTTGGTTGGGTAAAAAAAACAGTGAAAAAAAAAAAGAAACCCCAATACAAAAAGGCCTAAAAACACGCTAAAATAACCCAGAAACCCAAACCTCTGATTGGAGAGTAGGGCTACCTAGCACTCGGCGGAGATCATTCAGCATTGGATAGTCTACTCTCCAAGCAGAGGTTTGGGTTTTGGATTATTTTAGGCGTGTTTTTAGACTTTTTTTCGGGGTTTCTTTTTTGCACTGGAATCTTTCTTTCACCCAACCCAAACAAAGGAAAGATTCCAGTGCAAAAAAGGAATCCCGATAAAAATGTCTAAAAACACGCCAAAAATAACCCAAACCTCTGCTTGGAGAGTGTGGATAGCTTGTACCAAATCACTTCGACAATGGGCTTCCGTAGCCAGGATGTGCTATTGGCCTGGCATCCAGACTAATTATAAGGCTTCTGGTGCTACATTATACTTGTAGCGCCGGAGGCCAGTTCTGGGTTTTTAGCCTCTATCAGGCTTCGGGAGGCGGCAAACTGTTCTCTCCAGTAGACCAGCTCCCCTGGCATGCTATCTCTCTATTTGGCCGATCTGTACAGGCTACTGGGTTTTATCTTTTACACGTCGGCAAACGGTACAGTAGAATAGTCTTTGTACCGGGATGCTAGTATATTTCAAGGCCGAGTCTATGGCTTTAAAAATGTGAGGAAAGTGGCCGTTCACTCTGTTCTACCGATCAACTTGTTGGTCCGATAATTTGCTGTCGCTAAATGAGTTCAAAGACAGAGTTTTCTAGTGCTGAAGCCGCCAACACAACTTTGGCACTGGAGAATTATCTAGGGAAGAAGCCACCTCAGTGTTGATGAGAATGGAACCCATTACCTAGGTACTTCTGCCGTAATGTAACGTAATACTAATCCATATAACATTTTAGGATGAAACCAAATACCTGTATGTCTTCAGAAGTTGGTGTCGTCTCTTCTTGCTGTGTCTCTCGTTCGTCTCACTAGAATCTCTTTGTTACAGCTAGTGGTCTGCCCTTGCATGCCAGATGGCTACCTACCAGAAATTATCCCGGATTTTATTCTAGCCAATCACGGCTTAGCTCTAAAATCTAATCCTATTGATATTCATGAGCCTGGAGGTGAAAGGTCAAACACGTCAGTTTTTATTGTAATGCGATATTGGCAGACATTCTTTGTCTTCTTATTGTCTCCAGCAAGAAGAATTATAGTCCTCTATAATACTGTCATTAGGCAACAGCAAGTAAATTTTATGGATGACATCCTCTGCAGACAGAAAAAAAAACAAGACGGGCCGAAAAAAACAAGGCTCCTACATTTTTAAATTTTGACTCAATCATTGTACAAATGGTTTTGATTCAGTAGGAACATCACATATACACAGCCATCATCACATATCACTGCATCAAAGTAAGAAACAAATTTAAAACATTAAATCAGAGCCTTTTCTTGTCTCGTCTTTTCATAGTTATCTGCCATCCACCTTCCGGCGTAGCAACAGACATCTTTTTCATCCCATTTTCGGCATGTTGACCACTGTCAGAGGGCAACAAATTTTCTTGCTTTTTTTTTCCAAAATCAGGCGAAAATCAATACGCGTGGGGATGTCATCCATAAAAAATTACTTGCTGTGGCATTATTATTATTATTAGGTAGTAAATGTTGGGCATCTGGTGTACGGAAATCTTTAGAGGAATGCGGTTATGCCTTTGTTTGGCATTCCCCCCTATCAATTGCATCAAAAGTACACACAACCATCTCCTCCATTCACCAACGTTTAAAAGACATTTACTTTCAAAAATTCCTACGCGAAATTCATAATGACAACAAATCCAAAAACGCAAAGAACAAACTGCGCTCGTACAGACTATTCAAATCTACTTATAATGAAGAGCATTATCTTAAAATCCCAAACGGAAGTCAAAGAACCACCATCACCAAACTACGAATCAGCTGTCATAAACTCAGCATCGAAACAGGAAGGCACAACCGCACACCTCTGGAGCAAAGGATTTGCCAATTTTGTAGCTCAAACAAAGTAGAAGATGAAGCCCACTTTGTTATTGATTGTAGTTTTTATAGTAATGAAAGAAATGATCTTTTTAGATATATTGCTACTACGTTTCCATATTTCGAACACTTGCCTAAAATTGAAAAATTTATCTTTCTTATGCGCTTTGATCATTCTGTACTATACAAACCCATCTCAAATTATATTTTCAACATCACAAAGAAACGAGAAGAAGCCGAACCCCTGTATTAGAGTAGTTTTAGAACTGTTTATACCACAAACATGTATATTACCTATTTCATCTGTTGACCTGTACTTAGCCCGATAGGGCATGAATGTACAATAAAGGTTATTATTATTATTATTATCTCATTTCAGTTCGGGTTATTAAGACTTATCGCTGGTTTCCTGGGGCTCTGAACATTTTTTTCATTACCGCCAGGTGTCGCAAATGTCCCGTGCAGGGCAAACTACTGATAAACCATTGTACACCGGACAGTTGGTGATCATTTTTTCAGTATAACATATAATGATATTTTTTCAGTAGATCATAGAATAGCACGTCGGCAGAACGTACTGCACCTGCGCGAAACCCGTAATGTATTGTACATAGCATTTCGGCAGAATGTCTCATATAAGGTTGTATTCGCTCATATAAGGTTAGCATTTCGACAGTAGTTTCCAAATGTTATGTCGGAAAGAACATCCTCTTCAACAGGCAAAATTCGGATGGGTTGACCAAAAACCCAACGAAAAACGCGAAAATGCGGGGTTCTGCGCAGGCGCAGTACGTTCTGCCGACGTGCTTCATAGACTGATATTTCAAGATCCATGTACATGCAAATTTGCGTGAGTTCAAAAACAGGGCTAGAGATGTCAACACAAGACTTGTATTTGTGTTTTGTATTTAGTTTATTCACACAGTTATAAATTGAAAAAGTAAACAAATATATAAAACAAAATAATGTGCAGGAGGGGGCAGAAAGCCTTCAGGGCTTGTACAAGGCCCTCCTCCGTCCTAACTTAATCACGAAATGAAGGGTATAAGATCAACATAAGAAATGTAAAGGAATTAACGTAAAAAAACTATAATGAAAGCTAATACATATGACTGAATATCATAACTAATAAAGTATTTAAAAATGAATTGATGAATACAAAGATAATACAAAGGAAAGTAGTTTAACAAAGGATGTTACTAAATGCACAACATTTACAGAACCGGTAATCATTATACAGGAAATTTATACGACTCACGACTGAGTTATTTATTATACAAATGATAAGAAAGGAACATAGGTTTAATACGGCCTAAGGTCTTCGTGAAAGAGCAACCTACAAAATACCTCTATTCACGAGTTTCCAAACCCCAGAATGCATTGCGAAAACAGGGGTCTAAACTTCATTTGCATGGGACAGGAAGGAATCGGAATGATCCTGTTGACGTTAAACAGCTTGTTTTTCAGTGTGTTTTGAGGTGTTGTGGCATTTTATGCTCAACATTTATTGAATTACTACGGGTCGAATCTGACAACAAATAGAGAATGAAGATTTTGTGTTCTTTTTAACATGGAACATATGGTTTGTAACGTTACCACTACATGTATAATGTTACAAACCACATATTCCTAAAAATCCATTCTCTATTTATTGTCAGATTCAACCCATAGTAATTTAATTAACGTTGAGCCTAAAATACCCCAGCACCTCAAAACACAGTGAAAAACAAGCTGTTTAACGTCACCAGGATCATTCCGATGCCTTCCTGTCCTATGCAAATGAGGTTTAGACCCCTGTTTTAGCAATGCATCCTAGGATGGGAAACTCGTAAATTACGTTACGTTAGCTGTTGTTCGAATGAAGAGTTTGCAACATATCGAACACGTCAGTATTTTGTTTACACAATGGGAGGGAAGCATTCCTACAAAAAAGGAGCGTGGGTCCTATACTGACACTGCTACATAAATAGTACAAAAAGAAATATACGTGTACGCTACTACAAACAACTCATAACTAGACATAGTATTTACCATACTCATTTTACCTACTGACATACATACAAATACATTAAAAAACAATACATCAGTCCTACGTCATGACTATTATTGCTATTCATGCCAGAAACAACACAGAAAAGTCTAAAGTAAAAAAACAAACGGCTACTCAGAATGGAGATGAAACTGCAACGTTTTCAAAGGATCTAATTGCTCTTCTTCTTCTACTTATAACACGATACAAAATACCTTTAAACCTATTAGTAACATGATACAAGATACATGTAAGACCCATTAGTAAGTTTAAAGAGTTAGAAACCCAAACTCATTTAACAGTTCCTAACCATTGACTATCTTCAGACATGTACAGTCTTGACATATAGACGATTCTTAATGTCTTCTTCAGTAGAATTCCTTGTCATTCTGCCAAGAACCGAACAAAAAATTTTCATGACCACCTAATTACTTTGTTGTGTGGGTTTTCATGTGCGTCTTCAGATTACCCAGTACACTAAACTGCTTGCTGCACTCCTCACACCTGTAGGGTTTTTCCCCTGTGTGAGTGCGCATGTGTTTCTTTAGACTACCCAGTTCACTGAAATGCCTGCTACACTCCTCACATCTGTAGGGCCTCTCTCCAGTGTGAGTCCGCATGTGAGTCTTCAGACTACCCAGCTGACTGAACTGCCTGCTACACTCCTCACACTTGTAGGGTTTCTCCCCGGTGTGAGTGCGCATGTGCGTCTTCAGACTACTCGGCACACTGAACTGTCTGCCGCACTCCTCACATCTGTAAGGTTTCTCCCCGGTATGAGTTCGCATGTGGTCCTTCAGACTACCCAGCTCAATGAACTGCCTGCTGCACTCCTCACACATGTATGGTTTCTCCCCAGTGTGTATTCGCATGTGCGTCTTCAGATGACCCAGCTCACTGAATTGCTTAGTGCACACCTCACATCTGTAGGGTTTTTCCCCGGTGTGGGTGCGCATGTGTTTCTTTAGAACATCCTGTTCGCTGAACTGCTTGTTGCACTCCTCACACCTGTAGGGTTTCTCCCCTGTATGAGTTCGCATATGTTTCTTCAGATTGCCCAGTTGACTGAACTGTTTGCTACACTCCTCACACCTGTAGGGTTTGTCTCCGGTGTGAGTTCGCACGTGTTTCTTAAGACTACCCAGCTCACTGAACTGCTTGCCGCACTCTTCACATTTGTAGGGTTTTTCCCCGGTGTGTATTCGCACATGTCTCTTTAGATTACACAGCTCACTAAACTGCCTGCTGCACTCCTCACATCTGTAGGGTTTCTCCCCTGTGTGAAGTTTCATATGTTTCTTCAGATTACACAGCTCACTGAACTGCTTGCTGCACTCCTCACACCTGTAGGGTCTGTCCCTTTTATGAGTCGGCATTTTCATCTTACCCTCCCGATGACTTCCAAACTGTTCGCTAAACTCCCTCCCCTTCGTAGAACTGCCCACAACATCTCCATCCGAACTCCCGCTGACGTCTTCAAAGCCTTTTGTCGCCATTGTAACAACAGTCAATCTCGCTTCTGCAACACAGAGACAACAACTTAGGTCGTGTTTATGTGAAGTCACCCAATGCGCTTTAGATGTGATTTACCCCGAAGCCGGTTTCAAGTGGCTCCATCTGAACGCCCCAAATCACATTGAAAGCGCCTCGATCCCAAGCCACTTCCAGAGGTGGTTTCCAATCGGTTTTCCCGCATCGCGATTTGCGTCTGAACGCAATGTGATTTCAATGTGACTTCGCCTGGTCATGGATTACGGGGTGATATTTCTTTATTTATATGCAATACCAACTTTTACGTGGCAGCAACTTAAAGAGCAGTATTATAAATGGTCAAATAATGTGTCCGTTCTAGGGCGAGCTTCACCGCCTCTGGCGGGACCACGTTGGCATTCGGCCGAGATACGCTGGGAGGGGGGCATCAGCAAGCAGGTCGTTGACCTCTGACATTATTAACACGCCACCTTGCGTGTTTTCATCAAACAGCAATAAATGTAGCTCAAGCGAATTGTGATCGGGCACGGTTTCAAACGAATGTGTGGCACGACGTGGACCAGATGTGAGGAACGTGAGTTAACCGAATCGCGGTTTGGGTGACTTCACATAAACACGGCCTAAATCCTCAGTTAAGTCAGTCCGCTGCAGTTCATTTGACTTCCGCGGGGCGTCATTTCAAAGAAGCTGATACACTGTAAAAATCTAAATCTATAAAACTGTGACGATGCATGTTGATTTGATTTTATGGATGACATCCGCGTGCGCATGAGTTTTCGGCCGTTTTCACAAAAAAAGGTTTCAAACATACTGTAAATCGTACAAAATAGTTGCAAAATGAACAGATATATATCGTAAAAAGATACTAATGTCGTAGGATGCCAAAATCAAACGAAAAAGACGAAAATGTAAAGAATGAATTTGAAGAGTAGATTATTATCGCCATACCAATGTGTTAAGTCATCTGTTCAACCATCATGACCCTGAGATTTCATGTCGCTGATGAAAGCGACTTTTTTTGCCAAACTGTTTTATTCGCACGCTCGCATCAGTTTTGGGGTTCCCAGAGGATGTCATCCATATAATCAAATCAACATGGCCTTGTCTAATTGTCATCTCATATTAACACAATATTTCTATTGTGCTATGTGCTGTTTGAATGAAGAAAAAAAACTTATTTTAAAAATTGAGCACAGTGTATGTTCACGTATACAGCTACAGAGGGGGGGGGG